GTGCAAGATCGCTCTGGATAATAGGGAGTTTTAGAATAGCGTACGCAATTTTAGCGCACGCTAGCGCTAAATTTAGCGCTTGTATTAGCGCACGCGACGCAGAAGAGTTTTAGAATAGCGTTTCTCCGCCGCGACGCAAAAGCCCAAGCATCTCGCGCTTGCGACGCCACCAAGATACAGTAAAAACTTTTATTTCACACACGAAATGATGTAACTTTAGAAAAGAAAACGAGTTTTTTTGGTCCAGAGTAGCATTTTAATTTGTTTAAACATAAGAACGCGACGCGAGTGGTTGACCGGTCGTGTCCGCTTGCGTCGCCTCCGCAAGAGAGGTCTCGTGTACTGACCTTCGCCGTGAAATGTTCGCGCGTCGCAAGCATCAAGTCGCCGGTGAGCGCTGCTAAACCGAGTACAATTTCGTCCCGTATTGAAAATTGCAGTCGCGAGGATGCCGCCGACGTCGCACCCGCGACGCCGCCAAAGCAGCCGCCGGCGGCCGACATAATCCTGGAAGCCGCCATTTTTTTTAACGGTGCTCGTCTTGGCTTTAGCCAACTTCTCATCACGAATCCTCCTTGGAGAAGCGCAAAGACTCTTTGCGTACGCACGCTATTTCCCAGAAATAGCGCGCGCTAAAATTGCGCACGCAAAGCGCAAAACCTGGTTTGCGTTCGGAGCATGCGCAGTGGCGCCGACGCTATTCTTTGCGTACGCAAAGCTTTAGCGTGCGCTATTCTAAAACTCCCTAATAGCACCTGTGAGACAGCATCAATCGTATCGCCGTAGCGGTGCTCGGATTCCCGGAGGTGTCCGAGGATTGGTAGAACTTTTAGTACTTTTCGTATGAAATTTTCGCATTCTCTTAGCTCTTTTTGAACTTTGAAATATCCGAGAATCTGTGCGAAATGTATGCGTTGCAAGCAGGGCCTAGGCGAAGTTGTTAAAGCCCTATGTAACCGCATAATCACAACAACATTTAGCGAGGAAGCTCCTGTGATGTTTACGTTTTGTACTAAGCAACGATTTTACGATACAACTTTTAGCATAAGCTTGTCGCGTTTTTCTAGCTTTGTTTGAACGTCAGAATGTCTGAGAATCAAAGCGAAAGGTATACATTACATGAAGGGCCTAGGGGAAGTTGTTTCAGCCTTTTGTCACCGCATAACTGCAGCAACATTTAGCGAGGAAACTTCTGCGATCTTTAAACTTTTGTGCTATACGACGATTTTACAAATTGGCAGTTCTAAAGATTATATATAACGTGCTTACATTGCAGTGGGTTGCATTCGATCGCAGTTCCTTTTTGTTAAGTGAAAAGCTGGCGTTTGTTTGAGTGATGTGCACGCGAACTCTTACAAAGCATTTCAACTAATCATTCGGAAAAGGAGTTCATTACTAACGTTCATAAAACAGTTCATTTATCCCATTTGAACTCAGAGCACAATTTGCAAGTCGTCACATTTTTGATTGAGCAGTGCACAAAATACTGCATCGTTCGACCCATAGAGATTTGTATGCTTTTGATCTTGACGATCGGTATCAATAGTCCTCAGTAACCTCCATGTGATTGATTGGAGTCCTTTCTGATGGTAACCTAATCCATCATTTTAACATCTAGATTCTTTACGAAAATGCAGCCCCACTTTTTAAAGGTCTGGAGATAGCACCACACACTTCAATAATTCATGAAACTTAATGCAACTTGGAAATAGACGACTACTGCATATTTTTGCCTTTCGTATCAGTTATTGTAGCCATAATTGCTTTAATCAAGAGTGCATTTTATCAGTCGGTCAATTATTTACTTGCTCTAATTACCTACACAAGATAACTTATATTTGTGCTTGTGCCTTGCCCGAAGAAGCACTCTCGTTGCAAAAGTTTGACTATTATTACTTTGAGTCTCTTCAATTGATTTTTTTTCTTCAAAAGTGTGTGCTGCCTATACTTCATTTCACCATAACTTCTCAAAAGGCAATCGCCGAAGCCCCCTCGAGCCAATCAAAGAGACGGACTGAAGGCACTGGACTGTACGTCACAAATCTTTACAGGGGAGCACTCCGATGACATGTTTTCACGTGCCTCTTTCCAACGTGCATATTTGCTCACTGGGAAAGTAGCCTTCGCCTTTTGCCAAATTGTCGTGAAACGGAGTATAATGGCTACGGCGCTAATTACCCGAGGCTTCGTACTTTGAGCATTTGTTTGACAAGAATATTATGTCAGCAATCACTGTGGACTCGGCTCAGCGCCTATTTGACTCGAATGCTGCAATAGCGTTCGACGTGAACTAGGGCCTATTCGTGTGCCTTACGCCGAAAAAAACAACATGGTGACAGCCGATGTTGCTTGATGAGATTTCGCAGAGTCTATTGTGTCATAAGTATATTAAATATCCTCCTATATCACAAAGCATCAATACATACTATCATACTATTAAAATAGATGCTCAGAGTTGTGTTTGGTTTTGTAATCAACAAGTGACAGCAATAGTTATTTCTTACGAGTGTAATATTTATTTTCGGTAGCTGGGTCTGTTTTGTGCTCATTAACGTCAGTATGCTATGATGTTATTATCATGTTGGAGTTTTAAGTAACCTCTCTGCAATGCCTACAAAGCCCTTTGGACGGAAGAAATTAATAAATAACATTTTTACATCACTGGAGTTTGTTTTAGAATGCAGCACATGTTCAGGAGAGGTGAAAGGAGTGCAGCTATGCAGCAACTCTTCCAGTCTCGTATGTCTCAATTATTAATATTAAGGGGTCAGAGATGCGACTGTCCTCAAAAGCTCCACCACCCGCAGTGAACACAATACTTGGTGTGTAAACTCTGAGGGCGAAAAGGCTGTAGTGGGAATATTATGCATACTTGGAGTGTATCAAATATGTTTATTACCACTTGATTGCATAAATATTGATTCTTATCAAACTTATCAAACGGTTCCTTAACGAGTTCTTTCTGCGACAGTCTCGAGCCAGGCGCGCTCCGCCGTAGTACCTGTGCTCATTGTTGTCGGATGACGCTCCTGTCAAGTCAGTGTTCAATTTGGTCGAGTGGCAACTTTGACTGACTGATGCCATCTTGTGATCATAGGTCATGTGCCGCCAGTAACATCTGATGCACTGAATCTGTAGGGCTGGCTTCTAATCCACAAATTTTCCTGGCAGTTTTCTGCGTCAATGTAGCAAGTACGATACGACGATATCGTTAGATTTGTTGTCGAAAATGAACTGTCAGTTACTTGTGATGAACTGAACACCATCTTCTTTGTGCAAGAGGTTCCAGAATTTGTAATATGCACCCGACGCAGAACCCAATCTACAAGAGGAAAGCCTCTGGTGTTTATTATAGTCATCAAAATAAAATTTAAAAAATAAAGAATAAGGCAAACAACAAAACAAAGGGGGTTTCAAGAACAGTCACTTGAAAGGATAGAAAGATAAGCTTCTCTCGGAACACCGTTCTGCCGTGAAGATGTCTCAAAATTAAGAAACGACTTCACGGCAAAACAGGATTCAATTTGGGTAGACCTATTTTATCAAGCATGGCAGGTCGTCCCTGGTCTTCAGTACCTATGTAGGCTACTGGGGCCGTCAATGTATTTTAGCGGCATTCGCGATGGTAGCTGTGAATAAATGAAACGTTTGAGGTGAGGGCAAATGCATAAACTGACATAAACTTGTGGAACACAAGACATGTCATTTGCTTTTGCCACAAATTGCACCCTGCGCACGTACCGCTGTTCCGGAAAAAAATATTTACGTATCTGTATCTATATTCACAAATACTTTTTCGACGTTTATTCCGAAGTATTTCAGGGAAATCCAGTTACATAAAGGGCGAATATATTCCAAAACATGTATCTTGGCTCTAAAATACATATATCTCAGTATTGTATTTCTGAATACTTTCTGGAGTATCTCTGCCCAGCCTTGCTCTTGACTTACTGCACACTTTACGTGGGCTACAACAGCAGCTAAAAAAATGTTTGCTGCAACTTCAACGAAACTGAAATTCTTGATTAGAGAGCCAATTCTTCACTTCATAAAATAAGCCTTGATTGAGAGATTGATTAATAGTATACTACGTAAAAAACATCATTACCTATGAGTATGACGTATAACGCTTCACTGCCTTTAATATGCCACAGGAAATAGTTTACTGCAAACCAATATAACAGTACCATGTTTAAATGTAGTACTAAAATATATATGCAGATAGTATTATTATTAATGAATGCTTCATTGATTTTTAATATATTATTTATAAGTTAGTTAAATACTAATTATGCTGCAAACCGATTACCTTCGATGAGAAAATGTTTGCTTTTGGCCACTCATTACAACTCCTTCACATCTTAGCAATAAACATCGTAATTATACACCATTGCGAAAAGAATAATTAAACTAATAGCTATGTTTTTATATTTGATTAAGACAACAAAAGTTTAGGCATTTTGCCAGAATGCAAACAAAAAAACATAATTTTTGTTTTACGAAGTAAAATAATAAGGAGCTAAAACAGAAGCAAAAAAAAAGGACTTTGTGCAGTTCATATTGTGAAATCAATTATCGATTAAACGACAAAAAAAAGACATAGGTTTAATTCAAGATTCACGTGAATTTCTCGCACGAAACTAGGTATCAGATACAGACCTCATTCTTTTTATTTATGTCCTGGCGGTATCCCTTGGTTTTTCTCCACGTCTACGTATACATGCTGCCAAAGGTCGCGCAATTTGCTTAACGAAACTCTTCCCATCGGATTCAATCTTTCCCTCTAATACCCTCAGGTCGTAGGCGATACGAAGAATTGCACTTCCTTGAATTATGTCCTCACTCCAGCGCTTGTTTTGAGACGGCCGGGTATTACCTATAATTAAAATTTGATGCAATGCCGTCTCGTACTCAAGCCAACCGACGTTATTTTAATGTCGTGACGTATAAAACGTCACATGTCTGTCAATCGCATATATACACGAGGTCTGAGCGCGAAAGGACATTCACAAAACAAGTCCCCTGAGGAATCTGCTGAATATTACCAAAAGATGAGGACTACGGTGAGTGTTGCCGCGAACTCTTATTTTCTGGTTTAGCTGATGAACTAGTTAGGATTTGGATAACGAAGGCGAAACACAATCCGAAATCCGACGTGAGTAGTCTACCGTGTGTATTCATCGCCAAAGCTTGGCTACTAGCAAACCCTTAGCTCTTGAACGCTTATCTCGTAAAGAGTTCGTTCCATATTACTAGACACCAATGCGTGGCTTTCATAGGTCATATGCTGCTAGAGTTTTAACGTCAACAGCTGAGACGGCCTTTAGTTTGATGGCGCTCATTTTCAAGAAAGAGATACTTCAATTCATAATCTCTAGACCTTTCAAAATATGGTGAATAATTCAGGATTCATATAAATATACTTTAATTCATCTGAACGAGACGCTAGAGAGTTATTATTCCTTTGAGAAGCGAGTTTATTACGACAACGTATTAATCTTGGACAAGCATAATATATGTTAGTGTCCCGTTTAAAACTGGCAAGTTTAAAAAAAAAAATTTCGACTTATTGAATGAAATAATAATAAATAGGTATGCCATGCATAATTGCAATCTTTATTTCCCCATGTCCCAAGATAACGTGAACAGTGTATGGGGAAAATATTGGTGGATTATAGCCACTTGCAAGGTGAGAATGTCAGAGAAGGTACCTTCAGCTGTTCCGCCTCAAGCATGAGCTTTCTACTTCCGACAACGCTTCGGCGTTTCGTGCAGCTTGAGCGCGCGCGCTGTCAAATCACAGCGGAAGGCACGGAGCGCGTGGTGAAGGCCGGGCGTTCGAAAGACACTCTGCCGTTTTCATTCTGTCAGTGACTGTAACCGTGTTGCTGTAGAATGCTTAATGCGATCATCTGCAGCCTAAACATTTGTCATGCTTTCTACGCTCCGCTTCTTGCGGGCTCGGTGAGAAGCGGATAATCATTCTAAGGTCCTCTTCAGTAAACCTTTGTATACATAAGGTCTGATAGCCCTGAAGCAACAAAAATTCAAAACCACGTAGAAGAGTGCATCCAATCAAACCTCATTTAGCCGATGATGGCGCCAATCCGCTATCCAACTTCTTAAATAGACGCCACGAATAATAAATATTTTCGAAAGACTGAAGATCGAGAGATTTTTACATAGATTAGGTGATGGTGAAGACTGAAGAATATTAAATATTTTCGAAAGACGAAATATCGAGAGATTTTTACGTAGATTAGGTATTGTTTAGGTCTTACCATTTTCTTTTTATTGCATTCCGGTGTGGTCAATGATTTCTTCGTGTTGTACATAGGTTTGAGTCAAATTTTGATTGCCAATAGAAACGAATTAGATAATGCGCAGGGTTGATGAACAACGCAGTCCTGGGACTTTTCCAATGTATGTCTTTGCTTGCCCACAACGCAATTTCCCATCATATGCGAGCGCCACTCGAACGTCTTTCTATTTGTTTTTATTGAGTAATAGATATAACTTGCAATTTTCTCAATTCTACTTACTCTGAAGTGTTCACCAAAACCCTACACGCCCACAGTGAGCGTGCTTATAGTAGTCAAGTTAATTCTTCGGAAATCGGGTTCTATGTAAAACAGAGAAAGGAAATATATGTTAAAAACATAAAGACTGATGTTCACATTTCAGGCTGAACAATGCCTTTACAGTGCGAGATAAAATGCCCAACGTGCCCATTTTTTCCCGCATTTTTTCTTGTTTTTTATCTCTGGAATGCAAGATGCTCCCATACCGATTATGATTCGTTTCATAGGCAGGAATTTTGGTACCACTCACGCCCGTGCGATTGTCACAGCTAGAGTCACTGAATGGGTGTGATACTATACTTCTTTCTATCCCTGCATAACAAGCTAACCATAGCCCGTCGCGATTGAAAACAGCGTCGAGCCTGTTCATTTTGTTTTGTTATTCCTTTACATTTTTTCGGATTGCCTCGAATAGCCAGTAGTCAGAAACCGTCTGAGTCTCATCCTTGTGCTTTCGTTGCTCTTCCTCACTACAGCTGTACGCGCTCGTGCTGTGCCTGCTGATTGCCAGTGTAGTGGCCATCAAGGGCTTCGGAAAGGGCTACGGAGGAGGCTTCGGCAAAGGACACGGCGGAGGGTTCGGACACGGCGGAGGCTTTGGACACGGTGGAGGATTTGGGCATGGCGGAGGATTCGGCCATGGTGGAGGAAAATTCCGCCACTTCGGTTAAGCACTAGTCGTCTCGGAATGAACTCTGCCAAATAAATGTATATATCGGAACTTCAAACCAGAACACTCGGCTCTTCGCTCTCTCTGTGATTTTCTGTTTCTTGCAGATGCATCGTCTTGCAACGAGCCACAAACTTCGTCGCTCTCACACTGTGAAATGTCAAAAGGCTCGTCCACTCTTAAACTAGAACACTGCGCGACGAAAAAAAAGAAGAAAAATAGCCGTTTGTGCTTAGACATTGTAAGGTCGGTCTGGCTTTGGGGTGAGAAGATACTGGTTTACGTTGTAAAGTGGAAATTAAGTCAGCGTTGTACAACTGCTGGCCCTGGGTCTTTCACCCCAGATTTGCAGTCGTACCAGCACTTGTACGCGACCGCACGCCGGTATGAAGGTCAGCCAGATCGAAAAGGGCAGGGTTATGAATTGATAACCCACGATTCCGGGGTATAGTGGGCTGGAAGTGTGTGTGTGTGTGGGGGGGGGGGGAGGGGGGGGTGGAGGGGGTACGAAGTACGCTCGGGCGAGTGTGGACTCGCGATTCATGCTTATGAGGCACAGTATATAATTGGTATGCTGGAAGCAAAGTCACCATGCACTCTAGGGCTAGACAAAAAAAGAAAATGCTTGCAGTGATGGGGAGATTATGAGACGTCAATTTTCCCGCTAAATTAAGCGAGGAAACTAAATTGGAGTGTAGCTCACGGGACGTCTGATTCAGCACGAAATGGGGAAACTGAATTGGTACATGGGTCACATGACGTCACGTCACGGGATGTCAATTACCCCAATAAATTTAGCAGAGTAAATGCATGAAAGTACGGACGGACAATTTTTTGTGATTAAGGGATTCCCTTGAAATGCATTCCATGCTTTGAAAATTGGTTATACGTGCATACCGATATTAAACAGAGGAAATGTTGCAAAAGAAACACCGTCCGCCTGAGGAGAAAAACAATATTGCAAAAATACACAAAACAAAGAACTTTACAATCTAATATTCTAATATTTATATAGACATCTACAAAAATACTGTATCTATAAAGAAGCATCACACAATATTGCCGCGCGCGTCGCCGAGCGAGCGCGTGTGTGGCAGAATGGTTATCGCGCTTGACTGTCGCGCGGAAGGTGTAGGTTCGGTTCCAGACAGCGGAATGTTCTTTTATTTATTCTTTCAACTTGGTGTTCTTGTAAGTTTAAGAACATACTCGTCTGATCGAGTTCCGAATGTTCTACGCGCTGAAAGTTTTACGCCGAATGATCCAGAAAGCCACGAGGGTGCACAAAAAACTCCGCATGGCGAGGGCCTTGCCGGACTTGCCCCAGCGTTCGATCCTGCTGTTAGGCCGCCATCGACGCCTACGACGCTATCCCTTTTTCTATGCCGTCGAACCCCTGCCCATAATTTCGTAACTAAACACCAAAAGCACTAAATATGCAAAAAATTCGATGCCATTTCATTAACATAATCTTTTCGCTCCTTCCCCCATTATTGAAAAATGTCTTTTAAAAAAAAATTGCAGTATCGATATGTGCTACGTTGTGGTTAATGGTGTTTAACAGTTGGGGTACTGAAAGATCATCGTTTGTCTTCAGTAATTGGTTTAGATACGCTGTAGTTTATATCCTGCCAATACTCCTAGCTTATGTTCCGTTAAATCTGAAAGAGTTGGATTAAAGCTATTAGGACTTTTTGTGTGCATCATTAGCTGTCCAATATTATAGTGCTGTAGTCTAGTGAAGGATGAAATGTCGAAGCCATGGAGTAATATTTTGGCGTTGGCATTGTGGTTCGTGTTTGATACACAATTCGTATTATACGTTTTTGTAAACTAATCAGCCCGTCAAGTTGTTAGCTTACAAAGCATGAAGTTTTCGGCAAAATAGTACACATTAATAAAGGTACTTAAGATCGAAAGAATAAAGCACGGAGGAAAAGCACAGTACAACCACATTCTTTCATTTAGCAATGACGTTTATTTTGCGCAGGAAACTTGCACCCTGAACGAGATCCCAACTAAGACAGGGTAATAAGACGGAAGGAAATACTGGGGGATTACAAGGGGGAGGAAGAACCACGAGGCACGGGCAGAACTACAGTGATGGTGTGGTTTTTTACAGGTAGTGGCGATATTTTTCAAGTTCAGGCCTGATCAATTATATTTCCCATCTTGATAAAGCTGTAGTACTGCCCGTGCCTCGTGGTTCTCCCCCCCCCCCCCCCCCCTTTTTCATCCCCCAGTATTTCCTTCCGCCTTATCACCCTATCTTAGTTGGGATCTCGTTCCGGGTGCAGTTTTTGTGTCAAAAATAAATGTCATTGCTGAATGCAAGAACGTGGTTATCCTGTGCTCGTCCTCCGTGTTTTATTATTTCGATTTTAAATATTCATACTCAACTCGCTCGCTTTTTCCAGTAATAAAGGCAGGGGATATATCCATTGTCTTGTAGGTTACTCATATAGCTCTCAAAATATAATTTTATATGTTCGATTTGTGTTGTCCAAGGCAGTTTGTTAATTGAATCATCTACCTAAGAAATTTTTTTTCTCATTTACTTGCACGGTATTTGCCTCAAGGTCCACCTAGAGGTGGCGCTACTGTCGCGCTATAATCATCATCAAAGAGGGGATAGAAGCACGGCTTTCCACGTTCGCGCGCGAGGCGGCGTAGATTCTTGCGTTCATTTTGTCGCATAGTGTCGATGGGAAAACAATTATAGCGAAAAATGGCGCGGTACAGTCCGGTGCTTTAGTGACGGTACCGCATCCATCGTGGTATCACCACGACGGGTGCCTGTCTCCTGGTAAACGGCACTATATATACATATATATATATATATATATATATATATATATATATATGTATGTGTGTGTGTGTGTGTGTGTGTGTGTGTGTGTGCGTGTATCGGTTTACCAGCGTGTGAATTCAACAAAACATTGAATTCCAACCCGGAGAACATATTACTGGTAATGTGGCCTATGAAATCGCAGGTTCCATACTTTTTTTTCTTACTTTTAGATTTTGCAGTAATATAAATATTTAGCATGCAGAGGTCACTGCTCTATCGGAAATTGCCGTGCTATACGCCTCGCAAGTGGGCTCATTTTCGTCTTCTGCGCATGAGGAAGGAAGTATCGGTGACGTCAGAACGCCCAGCCCTGATTGGCTGATCGCGACACCCTATCTGGGCGTCGTCTGCTCCTTTGCAACGTCGTCTGCTCGCAACGTCGTCTGCGTCTTTCTCACCTTTCCTGCGACTTTCGGAAGTGTATCTTTTCGAGCGAGCTCGACTTCGCCTTTCAGAGAGGGCAGACGAAATAATTCGAGCGGTACGTTGTTTTTGTCTAACAACTAGCAGACGCGCATCAAGGAGGGAAGTCAAAGGACTCACTGGCAAGGTGTCTCGAGGCGCTGAGGTTTGTTCGCTAAGAACCGATAGGTGAGCGTGTTAGTGTCCGCAAGTTCCCTCCCAAATACTTTTTCCCTCCATTCGTGTGCGGCGAGACCCCTCACTCTTTAACGGCGTCGGCGGGTTGACGCAGTTAACGTCGTCTGCTTCACGTCTGCTAGTCAAAGCGATGGCGGCTTTACCTTTCCTGTGCCCGTCGGAGATTCACCGCTTTTTCTCCGGCGAGAGTCACCGTTGCCTCGGGAAACAAGGAGATAACAAGAGGAAGAAATTGACCTCTTAATCTAAAATTGAGGTCAGCCATCAAAGTATAATACGGGAAGGGCTCACAAGGGTCGCGCGGGCATATTCATTCAGCACGCCAGCCGGTCGTGGGCAGACGGTCGCCGAGTCGCGGAGTGCCTGCAAGGCCTAACTGCCCAGCTCGTTTGGTCGCGTTCGGTGGAATCGTGGCCTTTGGAGCTTTTCCCGGATGTTTATGGATCCAGCGTTCTTGTTCGTCGCGTTCTGTTTCAAGTACTTTTTACTTTTTTTCTTGCTGCTTGAAGTCGGGACGCGTCAGATGCGCAGGTAGAAAAATAAACGTCCGTGGGTCGTCGCGACCGTGACGCTGTCGGCCATGCTGATTTGATCGTAAGGAGTGCGTAAGACAGCTTCGGAGCTGTCGTGGGATTTCGTCGTAACCTGCGCCAAACTTACGAAAGTTTTGTTTCGTGAATACGAGTTTGTTCTTAAGTTTTGTCTTACGCACTTTTTTGGCGTAAGATAGTTTCGTGAATCTGGCCTCTGCACTTCCGAAAGTCGCAGGAAAGGTAAGACAGACGCAGACGACGTTGCGAGCAGACGACGTTGCAAAGGAGCAGACGACGCTCAGATAGGGGGTCGCGATCAGCCAATCAGGGCTCGGCGTTCTGACGTCACCGTTACCCCCTGCGCAAGAGGCAGAGGAACCATTGAGTTCCGCTGCAATCAATGTTTTCCTCAACTGCAGTAAAGGTAAACTTACCCACACCATGGCACATATGTGCCATGGTGTGGGTAAGTTTTTCGGACTCGGAACAATTCTACTACGTTGCGATGGGGAGAGAGTGCCTCTTCCAGTTACAATCCGCAAACTGCACGTTGGCAGCATAACTAAAACAAGTGAAACAAGCTGTTCTAATATATCTGCCGGGAGTGTAATGAGCTAGTGTACCCGAGCAACGCAGCAACATTGGTGTTGCTGCGTTGCTCGGTAGTGTGGGTTTACCCGCTTCAATCTTCTTGGTGAGGGCCGCAGATGTCAATAGGCTAATATTATAAGTCTCTGGCTAAATAATCTTCTATTAAAAAACAGTAGGTTCTGCAACTCCAGCAAATAACCCGATCCACGACACATACAGCATCGGTCGTAGCGACACTCTTTTACTGATGAGGGAAAGAAACCTTCACGAGACTTTCCGATCACCCTCCGCCCTGACCCATCGCATATGGGGACTGAGCAGTTCATCCATTAATTCTTAGATTACTCAAGTAATGCTCTAATTGCGTTTTTTTTTGTCGTTTAATCGCAATCTTGTGCTGGAGAAAGTTAGCAAAAAGTAAAAGATGCCTGTTCTAATATTTTTGACGTCTTTATGTCATTTATGACACAGGCTTGCACGGTAAACCAC